GCTGCTGTGATCCTAGTATCTGGGGAGAGCAGGATTCCACATAAATGATTCTGTGATTCCCTCCGAATTCTCCCATAGCCTCCCCTCCCCACAGACCAAGCTGGTCTGCTGTTGTCCCGGCAAGAGTGCATTTGCTGTTGTCATGCTCAACTTGGCAGTTGCTGTGTGAGCTCCGGATGCTGAGGCATTTCCACAGCTCCTGGGGGCCTGAAAGGGGAGAGGCACATACTTGTGTAGCTACATGCAGTGGAGTTCAAAACAGCAGAGCAGTCAAGGCAAGAGTTGTGTGATGCCTGCAGGAGGCCAGGTATGCCAATGTAATGAACGCAGTATTCACACTGAAGCTTAGTTGCTCTAACTTTGCCACAGAAAGCGCTGCACTTCTTGTTGAGTTGGTTTTATTTTGTCAGCAAAGCAAGACAGTTTTATCAACAAAAGTAGCTTGGGGGGTGTGTGTGTGTGTGTGTGTGTGTGTCCATTGTTTTGTTGACAGAAGTTGACTTCCTGACAAAACTGTGTAGTGTGGACAAAGCCTAAGTTTGTCTGAAATGGGCTAAGACTACACTTTCACTTTTCTGCACTGCAACTTTCTAGCTCAGGGATATGAAAAAATCCACACACACCTGCCCCTGTCCAGCACAGCAAGTTATAGTGTTATAAAGCACCAGTGTAAAAAGGCTCCTAGTGCTCTTAGTTACTCTCCTCTTGGCGGTAGTTTAGAGAGTGCTGGGAGCAAGATGCCATGGCCAATTTTTTAACATCACTTTAATTTTAGAAGTCTACACAAATTCTTGTTGATTTACTTTGTAAACTACCTGTAGGCCATCATATAGGGTTGAAGGGAGGGATTACTAAATACATTATCTTTGAATGACCTAGCAATAAGAGTGAAGTTCCACAGGGATCCGTTCTGACTCAAGTGTTATTAAACATCTTGGCTGTGTTTACACTGGCCACTTATTCTGGAAAATCAGCCGCTTTTCTGGAATAACTTGCCAGCTGTCTACAGTGGCCCCTTGAATTTCCGGAAAAGCACTGATGATCTACTGTAAAATCATCAGTGCTTTTCCGGAAATACCATGCTGCTCCTGTTCGGGCAAAAGTCCTTTTCCGGAAATCTGTTCCGGAAAAGGGCCAGTGTAGACAGCACAGATTTCTTTTCCGCAAAAAAGCCCTGATTGCGAAAATGACGATCGGGGCTTTTTTGCGGAAAAGCGTGTCTACCTTGGCACGGACGCTTTTCCGGAAAAAGTGCTTTTCCGGAAAAGCATCCTGCCAATGTAGACATGCTTTTTCCGGAAATACTTATAATGGAAAACTGTTCCGTTTTAAGCATTTCCGGAAAAGGGTGCCAATGTAGACACAGCCCTTTATTAATGACCTGGATGTATGATACTGATCAAATTCACAGAGGACACAAAGCTATTGCCAACACTTTCTAGCACTTTGGATAGATACATTCCACGGGATCGTGATACATTCAGAGCTAGATTATAGACAAAATAAAATTCAACAAAGGCAAATAAAGAAGAAAAAAACAAATGCACAAGTACAATATGGGGGAAAACCAGTGTGGCAGTATCACTGCTGAGAAGGATCTGGGAGTTATGGGTGGATTGCAACCTAGGTCCAGCTAGGTGCGCCAGTGCCACCAGGTTCCCCGTGGCTGTCTGGGTGGTGGGGCAGGTGTGGCTCCCCACTCCTGGTCAGCTGGTCCGGCTGTGGAGGACAAAAGGGAAAAGTCGTCAGTCATGCATACTCACCCTTTCCCTGGGAGGGCATGCCCTCCTTCTTGTCAGCAGGCAGTGCCTGTCCTAGGGTCAGAGGCTGCTCATGTGCATCTCAGTAAGGCATGGTGTGGCCTTCCCCACAGCCACGGCCTCCCTGGAGCCCAGAAGGTGTGCAGGCCACCATCCTGCCCCCCCCTCGCAAACACCCCATGGCCCAGGTTGCTGAGAGACCTGCAGCTGTGAGGCAATCCCGGCATCCCTGACCCATGCCTGCCCCTGGCATCAGTGCCTGCAGGAGCAGGTGGTGCCTAGCAGCCATGAGGGTGCAGGGGTAGGATAGCTCTTCCTGAGGGCGGCCATGCGTGTGCTCCCCTTCCCCCAGTCTGTGATCAGCATGACATGTCACAGTACTGCACCGTGCACTTTGCTCCCACCTGCCCTGCCCTGTGTGTGTTGGACCCTCACAGCACTCGCCTGATGTTCCCTCCCCAGTGGCCGAAGTTTCCTGAGAGGCCTCCTGTGTCTGGGCATCTGGCTCCTGGGTGTTCCAGGTACTGTCCCCCTCCTCCTCCTCCTCCTCCTCTTGGAGCTCTGGGTCATCTGGCAGGAGTTGCAGCCGCTGCTACACAGGGGTCTCTAAGCCAGACTCCACAAGCCTCTCGGGGGGGCAGGGGTTCCTCTGCCCCCAGGTTCCTGCCCAGGTCATAGTAGGCGCAGGAGTGTGGCCTTTAGTGGCCGAAGTTTCCTGAGAGGCCTCCTGTGTCTGGGCATCTGGCTCCTGGGTGTTCCAGGTACTGTCCCCCTCCTCCTCCTCCTCCTCCTCTTGGAGCTCTGGGTCATCTGGCAGGAGTTGCAGCCGCTGCTACACAGGGGTCTCTAAGCCAGACTCCACAAGCCTCTCGGGGGGGCAGGGGTTCCTCTGCCCCCAGGTTCCTGCCCAGGTCATAGTAGGCGCAGGAGTGTGGCCTTTCCCCGGAGTGGGAGCTGCGCTCACGGGCTCTGACGTACCCCTGCCTCAGCTCCTTCACCTTGGCTCTGACCTGCGGTGCCGTGTGGGGGTGGTGGCCTTTTCTGGCCAGGCCATTTGCCATTCTGGCATAAATGTCCACGTTCTGGTGCCTGGCCTGTGGGAGCTGAAGAGTCTCCTCCTCACCCCACAGCTCCCAAAGGGCTTTAATCTTGGGGCCAGACCAGGAGGGTGCCCGCCATTTAGTGCCCCGGGATTCCTGGGGGGATATTTTCCTGGAAGGGCCAGGGGATTCCTGAGGGGGTGTTTGTCCCTGAGACATGTCTCCCGACTGCCCCTACTGGGAAGAGCTGCATAGTCAGGATCCTGGCTGGAGCTGTCTTGCAGCCAGACTTCTGATTCTCGGTGCCTGTGCCTTTTAAAGATGGCTGCAGGCAGGAACAATAGAGTTGCAAACTGTGGCAAGATTGTCCACCAGGAGTCCTTTCTGGAGGCTTTTTCTGTCACCATAACTTTTCCCCTGTGTCCACGCTGCCCTTTTGTCGACATAACTACGTCAACGAAAGAGTTATTTCTTGTGGAATGAGATTTACAGCCATCGACAAAACTGCTGAGTTATGTCGACGTTATGTCAACATAACTCGAAGGCAGCGTGGACCCAGGTTTAGTTTTAGCGACAAAACCTTGTAGTCTAGACACACCTTAAGGTACCACAGGACTACTCATGGTTTTTAAACTTACAGACTAACACAGCTACCCCTCTGAGACTTTATGAGGCAATAGGTTCAAATTACAGCAGCAGATTCAGTAGGACAATGTGACAGACTGCCTAAGGAAGCTCCTTTGCTAGAGGTTTTTCCAAAGGATGCTAAATAGCCATCTGGTATAGCCACAACAAATCCTGCATCTTGGCCAGGGTGT